TTTTTATTAAGAACATATAACAATTTTATAGTTTTTTTTGCATATTCTTATTTGAAATGACAAATTTAACAAGCGTTGAAAATTTCATTGAGTTTTGTTCATAAATAAAGATTTTGTCATATATTACATATTTGTTTAATTTCTAAAACTATGATTTATATCAAAATTTTAATAGGATCGCAGATAGCTACAATAATTTAGTCCATATTTATCCTTTAATATCATTTTTTAGTTAGATATGGAAATTCTCGACCCTTTACAAAAAATTTCATGCCAATATCTCAATTACATTCAAAAATATGTTCATTTAAACCTGTGTCCTTTAATTTCATCTTTTTCATATTTTAGTATTAAGTATGACAGAACATACATTTGGTGTTGAATAAAATATTTGGACAATTTTTAAAAATTATTTAGTTAATTATTTTATTATAATATTGTATATAAAATAAAAAAAATTATAATTTTATTATGAGCCACGCACAACAACACCTAAATCACCCCACACAAATTACCTTTCCCGCCCACCGAAATATAAAACACAATTTAATACAATATCATCAGTTAGTATAATAGCTTTTTTTATTTGAACTGTTTATCTTAAACATAATACAATTAATTCTTACAACCTACTTATATAGTCAATTCCTAACACTACTTATTTTCTATAAAATAATCTGTCATATCGGTATACATATCCAGAAGGTAATATAATTCCTTTAAATCTTCCTTGTTTTGAGATGATAGAGTTTCATAACAAATCCATCTTTTTCGCATAGTTGAAAGAACAGGATCAGAAGATAGAAGTAAACTATTAAAAATATCTTCATTCTGTGATTGCCTGGAGCATTTTCTTGAGCTGAATAGTTGAACATGCTTAAAATCTCGATTCCTCGCTTCCTGGGCTTCTTCTGTTAACTCTCCAAGTGGAAGAATATTCGATTCAATTATTATTTGACCATGACACAATACTTTGTGTACTGTTGGTGTTAGTTCCCTCCATGGATACAGAGATACAAGTAATTTAGAAATTTCAGATGTGTATTCCCCAAATCGATTTTCATTAATTTTATGTTTACTATTCAGTGCCATTAAAATAGTTTTAAATCTTCGAAGCAACTCCTTGCCGATTCCAGTTATTTTTGAAGTAATTTCAAAATCACGAAAAAACCTTCTCGACGTATTACCGTCATTTGTACTACCGCAACTTGAAAGTGGTTTGTCGATGTTTAATCCCATCTGAACTTTAAATTCTTCTTGGATTCTGCTTTTTTCCGCAGCTCTCAGTTCTTTCAATTCTTCATTATTTTTTGTTGATTTAGTAGGATAGTTTTTTTTTTTTTTCCTGGATCGCCTTGTATGATGGTAATATATTGTGTCCTTTTTCATGCAGAGCTTTCCTTAATATTTGGTACTTATTTCGACTGAGACCCAGTTCCAACATAAGCGCTATTGCTTCCTCTTCAGTAAAATTTGATTATGATGTTGGAGTTGGTATACTTTCCACAATTCGCTTAAGTCGTTTTGGTGATGCATTAGAAAGAATAGTTGCAATATGTACGACATCCATATGTTGGTTTTCCTTTTTCAGCATTTCGTTAAATGTATCAGCAATTTCCTCATTTGAGATTAAAAAAAGTTTTTGTGTGACCCTCTTTTTTTTTACCTTGAACATAAGTCTTCGTATGACTTGCAAGGCGCTCCTATTGATGTGTTGTAAGTTGAGATTTCCGTAGTAGTTTCCATCCAACTACAAAATTTTAATCGAAATTTCTTTTGATTTCCATCCACAGACTTACTTTTTACATCAAAAAGTTTTAAAAAGTTTTCAATTTTTGATATGCCTGTTTTGTCTACTTTTCTACTATATGTAGTTTTTATATAATTTGAAATGTCTTCAATTCTTTCTGGCCCTTTTGAAGATATACTCCATAAAACGGAACACAACTCTTCGTACTTTAATGTAATCTTCATTGTAGATTTATTAAATATGGTACTTAAAATCTGAGAAGTTTACTTATATACCAATTCTTGTCATTTCCGATACAGGTATTCCAAAGTAAAAAATTACGAATTGTCTACCTATTAACATTTAGGACTATATTACTATAACCTGTAATTCAGTCATTGATATTTCTTATTAGTGAATGAATCGAAATTATCATTACCTGTATATTTTTACCTACATGATCATAAACGAAACAGAACGAAATGATCTGTCGAAAAAATTTAGGTAAAAAATAGTTATAAATTTTTGAAAATTTAAGCATAATAGGACCTTTCAATTATAAGGATAAGCAAACAAATAGAAAATAGGTAAATATAAGATTTAAATATGTGCTGTCATACTTAATACTAAAATATGAAAAAGATGAAATTAAAGGACACAGGTTTAAATGAACATATTATTGAATGTAATTGAGATATTGGCTTGAAATTTTTTGTAAAGGGTCGAGAATTTCCATATCTAACTAAAAAATTATATTAAGGGATAAATATGGACTAAATTGTTGTAGCTATCTGCGATCCTATTAAAATTTTGATATAAATCATAGTTTTAGAAATTAAACAAATATGTAATATATGACAAAATCTTTATTTATGAACAAAACTCAATGAAATTTTCAACGCTTGTTAAATTTGTCATTTCAAATAAGAATATGCAAAAAAATTGAAAAGGTCAAAGGGCATCCCGCAATTCCCAAAAATAGGAATGAAAATCCCAAAAATGGGATTTTTTACTTTTTTGCCCATAGGGTCCACATTTCTTTCAGGGCTGGGAAAATACTTTTGGAGTAAATAGAAAACATATTGAGGTTTCCAAAACTGCTTTCAGTTTTCTGATCCCAGCTTTGGGATTTTAGAACATGTCGCCCAAAGTTGAAGTTTTGATAAAAAATAGGTCATATTCGGAAGGACGCAGTGGCAACATTTTCAAAAAATAGGACAAGTTTTTTACGCCAAAGCGTTCTGCGTAAAGATACCTTTTAGAAAACTATAAAATTGTTATATGTTCTTAATAAAAATTTTATTTTATTAATAAAAGAGTTAAGACACATTTTTGGCAAAAAAACGCCAAAAATCTAAAATTTTTTGAATTTTTAGATTAAAAAACGTATATTTTTGGATCTGTAAACAATATTGATCTGAAATTTTTTGTATATTATTGGAAATTTTGTTGTCTAACTAACAAGAAAAAATTGAGTCCATTTGGTCCAAAATTACGCCCGGTATTCAAAAAAAGGCGGACCAAGGTATGGTAAATTTTGTATTACTAAATTTTTAAATGCCTATAACTCGGATATTATAAGAGATAAGTAGTATGTCCAAGCATGTTTTTTCAAGATCTCGTCGAGCGCTTTGTGTTCTTAATAAAAATTTTATTTTATTAATAAAAGAGTTAAGACACATTTTTGGCAAAAAAACGCCAAAAATCTAAAATTTTTTGAATTTTTAGATTAAAAAACGTATATTTTTGGATCTGTAAACAATATTGATCTGAAATTTTTTGTATATTATTGGAAATTTTGTTGTCTAACTAACAAGAAAAAATTGAGTCCATTTGGTCCAAAATTACGCCCGGTATTCAAAAAAAGGCGGACCAAGATATGGTAAATTTTGTATTACTAAATTTTTAAATGCCTATAACTCGGATATTATAAGAGATAAGTAGTATGTCCAAGCATGTTTTTTCAAGATCTCGTCGAGCGCTTTCACAAAATATAAAAATCTTTGTATTTGGGTGAAAAACAAAAAAATGGCACGAGTTTAAAAATTTTACATGTCGTAGGTACCCTACTTTGAGCCGCCACAGCGCCGTCCCTGGGGCATCTGCAGGGTTCATCTTCAAAACTTAAACTCAAATACTCCTTGGCTACGCTCACGCCAAATTTTATCCCGATCGGATCAGCCGTTTAGAAATGCCAGATTTATTTCCAAAAAATTTCCATTCTGCCCCACTGTGCAGTGGTTTGTAAAAGAGAAACATTTTAATAATATATACTTTTAACTTCTAAGTAATTTATGTATATTTTTCGTTATTTATGAAATTTTAATTGATAAACTTTGTTTTAGTGAATTCTTTGTATTTATATTATTATTCGAACCACCGTATATTCTCATCCTACTCGTCATCATCAGCATTTAGAAAAAAACTTTTTTCTTTTGTTGCAGTTATTTTTCCTGAAAAAAAAACTACAAATAAAACAAAGAAAAAAAGCATAAATAAAAAGAAATATTCTGTAGACATTTTGTTAGAGAAAATTTGTGCATTCTAACAAAAGAACAGAAGAAATGATTTGTTTTATGCATTTAAACTAAAAAATAAAATATGCTGGCACAATAAAATGCCACTGCAGTTACTGCTGCCAGATTTCTACTCATGCCATTGAAGTACTCGTTCTTACAAGAAGCTTACGAAAAAAATGACAAGAAATTTACATAAATAAAAATGTTTTAAATCTACATACTTGTAAGTGTTGAAATTAATGTCCCATTAAGCAAAATTTATACAAAATGTTTAAACTTTTAAAGGACAAAATTAGGGAAATTTAGAAGTTAATCAAAAATATTTCAAAAATTGTGTTCTGAATATAAGGAATTTCTTAAAAAAGTATATACTTAAGTATGTATTAGTTTTTTGAGTAAAATACTTTTGTTCATTAAAATATTTATTGGGTTACCTATGAAATAAAATAAATAAAATATAACATACAGAATGTATTGCAACATGTTTTAATGAATGCAACAAAACATGTTAATGTTTTTGTTATGACCTTAAAAAATGTATTTTTTTGTATTATTTAGAAAACAAAAAAAAAAAAAAAAAAAAACTTTAGCTTAATGCATTTCCGTTTCCGAGAATGTGTCTTTTTATGTTAGTTTAAAGTATTTTTGTTTTAAAAAATTTATATTATTTTTAAACTTTACTTTAATAAAAACTAAATTATAATTTAATTTTTATTTTATTTTGTTTTTTTTTTTTTCTTATTTATTTATAGTCCTCTTACTTGCAACTCTCCTAAACTTTTTTTTACAAAAAAAAGTACACCAACTATAGATTGTTTGATACAATAAAAAATATAAATAAAACAGCTTTTATTATTGTTTGCTTACAAAATACAAAAAAATATATATGTATAATAAAAAGAACTTCAACAATTTTGGAATAATTTTTGTTGTTGTTTGTGAACTGCAAAACCTTCCCAGCAACTATTGAGTCATTCAGTTAGTCTGTCAGTCAGTCAGTGAGCTTGTAAGGGAATAATCAACCTTACAAACATCAACCCAAAAACGTTCATACAGCCAACCAACCATCAAACCAGGCAAACAATATTCAACTTAACTACTGCCACTGCAACTACTATTACAACGCCAATCCTGCTCTGCTCTTATACTTTTAGTTTTGGTATAGAAACTATAGCGCTATTTTGTAGCTCTCATACACACATACCTGCAAACAAAAACTAAAAAAACAAGTATCCTTAAATGCCTTTAACTGCAAGGCTATTGAGCTATAGCAGTGGTCCTGATGTAAGTAGTTTTATTTCCGCTTCTGGCTTGTAAAACAATTTTGTTGTTTTTTTACATTTAGATTTTTGTTTGTTTGTTTTCTTTTTTTCGTTCTATTGTTTTGTTTGCGCTGCTTATTGTTACTGCTTTTTGCTTGTTTTTTCTTTTAACTTGTTTTTTTTTGGCTTAAACACATAATATTTTAGGGAAAATTTTAAATTGTACTGCGAGTAAGAAAGACTGCTAAAAGCGCTATATAAGATTATAGAAATTTAAATCAAAATACTTTTTAATTTATTTTTCGAAAAATCAACTTATTATATATTTTTTCTTGTTATTTTCAAAGCAGTCAGGTAAATCTTCCGTATTGTCCGCAATATACTCTCCTTTATGGTTCTCTATCATTTATAGATAGTTTACATAGTAACTGTAGTAAAAATTAAACAAAAATGGGATAGGCCAATCTAGCTGGAAAAGATGTATATATATGATTATAACTTTAATACAATTTTTAAGAATTTCAGATCGGCCCTATACATTCCACAAATATTTACTCTAAGCAAAGTTTTAAATTTTTGAATGCAAAATCAAAATTTTTGATATTAACAAGTGCCCTTGTTTGACCCAAGACATTTTCACGGTGAAAAAGCAAGGATATGGGCTGCGTATAGTCCCTATTCCAATTTTACTACCCAAACATGTTGATTATACTATTTAAAATTCATCTGAATTTGTTTGTGAATGGTTTTAGAAAATCGATTTGGAGCGGAAGAAAATGACCTGAGACACCTATTTTCGTTATAAGAACACTACTGGCTACCATGTAGTGATAGGGCCTAATTTTGGTTATAACCCTACTTACCATATTGCATTATCGATATAGTCAAGGTACTGTTGAAAGTAGAACTATAATAAAAATACGTAGGAAGGATGCCCAAATAAAATAAAAAAATAAACGATTTGAAGCCAATTATCAGCAGAAGTGTAGATTCCAATTTGTTTTGTCTCATGTACTTTATATGTATCCTTCACCGTCGTGATAAGGGTATGAATGTCGAAGTGTTTTACGTGAACACCTGCCGTGTTGGTCTATTTAATCAACTGGGTGAGCTTCTGTGCGGACTCACCATGTGAGAGCACTTTGCTCAAGTACTTGAGCTATCCAATCGGAAGTTAAGCAACGGGGCAGCAATGGTAACGAGATGCAAGAACTTCCCAGATTCAAGAACATCACTTCCGTTTACAACTACGTCAACAGCTCCTAGAGACGTTATTCGGTAGACCGAAACACGAATTCATCAAATAAGCCGAGAACCTTGCTCTTACTCACAGAGAATACACTGTGGTAAATCAGGTATGAACAGAGTTTTTCCTGAAAATACCTGGACAAGATAAGTTTCATCCAGAATCATTCAACCCAACACACTTCTCATTCATCTGACACACTCAATAGAAAACAACATCCGACACACACCCTTTTCGTTAATTTGGGCTAAATCACATCCACAACGTGGATACCAAAGGAACCCAAACCAACCCACCAGCCAGGACAAAGTCCTGCGGGCCACTGGCCACTCGTAGATTTGGTTCTCTGGCAAATAATTCCAAAGAAGTTTGTCAATCTGTTTGTAATTTCTACAATATAATTTTCCGATCTCATAAAGTAAAAGCTCTGGATCCTTATAGATAGAGGAGTCGATTAAGCTATGTCTGTATGTTTGTTGAAATCAGTTTTTAGAAGATCCCAGATCCGAATCTTCAATAATTCTGTCGAGAAGTTTCCTATTGATAATCAGCAAAATTGGTCCATAAATATCAAAGATATGAGCAAAAATCTGAGACTATCTCTGAAAATGTCTTTAACAAATTACATATAAATAAAAGCATAATAAACAATAACAATGAGATAAACATCAACAATGTTTGTGGATAGGTAATACAGTTATATTTCTTTCTACGTAATACAGCTTACATAGAAACTTGTAGAGATACAAGTCGATGCCCGGAGATTCTTCAAAATGTACTTTTTGAATTGTCTATAATATAAGAGCCTGGAGTAGGTGAACACATTTAAAAGGGGACTATTTGGTACTTTTTCGGTTTTCAATTTAAAATTTTTTTAATTTTCTATAATATTGAACCTAGAAACATTATATTAAGCATGTAGAGCCCTGATTAGAGAACCTATAAAAGGGGACTTTTTGGTACTTTTGCCTTCTTCAATGAGTACCTTTTGAATTTTTTATAATATTGAACCAAAAAACATTAAATTAAACATTAAGAGCCCTAAGTCAATGCAAATCCGTAGATAATAATTTTTGATACTTTTTCGTTCTATGAATGGTACTTTTTGGTTTCTATGCATTCTTACACGCAGCAACCTGACTGAACAAAAATCTTTAAAAAGAGACTTTCTGGTACTTTTTTGTTTTATATTTTTTTTTGTAATAAAATTCGTACTGGCTGTTTTTTTTACACATCATGGAGAAGGGTATATAAGATTAGGCACAGCCGAATATAGAACTCTTACTTAAGTTATCTAAAAAAATTTACTTTAAATTTATAAATATGATAAGTATTGTTATTATAAAATTTAAAGTTCCTGTTCTTTATAGGAATGGATTAATTTATTTTAATCCATAAATAAGTTACTTGTGTCGAATATGTTTTTTACCGACATTCAGTGTTACCATATGTCAAGTTTTCCCATTTTATGCAAGTTTTTTGAGATTCAAAAAAGTTTTTAAGTTTTATTCCAATAAAAAAAGTTTTTTGAAAATTTATACAGTTTTTCAGTTTTTATATTATTTAATCAATAAATAAATTTAAAATAAAAAAACAATGTTTACCATTAACAAAATAATATTTTATACCATTAATATTCGAGATATTCCTAAAAACTGAAAAAAATTGACTGTTGTTGATGACCTTAATCTCTTAGAATAGACGTTAAGGACACAATGCACTTCGACCATATTGTAGAGATTTTGTGCAGCCCATTGGTTCACCATACTAGGCCAAATTCGCGCATGAAGATAAATGGATTAATCGGTGAGTGTTTGAAGACATCATCTGGGTCTGGGTAAGACAAAATCTTCGTGTTTCGAGTTCCCAATGACGGGTAGTTGCAAAAGTTCAGAGGTTTCCTCTTGTAGTACACAGAATCTACATAGATTCATCATGACATATCAAGTGTAAATTTATGGTGTCTAAGACCACAATATCCAGTAATTCCTTGCTACTGATGTTAAGGAAAAGTTCTGTACCAATTATCATTAAGCTATTTAAAATTCCTCAGTTTGCTCATTTTTTCACTAATTTTTCTTGGGTATTTTGTAATTTTAGTACAAAAAAAGTTTTTTTTGTTGAAAAAAAGTTTTTTTTCATAAAAATAAAAAGTTTTCTTCAAAAAATATATGGCAACACTGCCGACACTGTACATTTATATAAAATCACTTTAAATTTCCTACACATGCTTTGATAGTAGGTATATATGATTCGGCATAGTCGAATATTGCAATATTACTTTTTTATAAGAGGACAACTTAGAAAAATATCATGTGTTTATCGTATTTTTTTTTTTTTCAATTCCCTACTACTTTAGTTGAGCGTATAATTCGTTTAAGCAGCACTTTGCTTACAATTGCTTAAGAGGATTTTAATTTTTAGACAAAAAGAATGAAATTGCAGCAGGTTCAATACCAGATGTTTTGTAAAGAGATTTAGATACACTCAGAGAAAACTGGTTAGTGTAATATAAGCATAAAGCGAACTGCTGCTAACTATATACTTTCTATATATAAAGGATTTTATGTTTTGTTATAGCATTAAAGGTGTTGCATAAAATAGTAAACTTTAAAGTGATTGAATGTAAAAATTAAGTTTTTATTTTCTTTGAGTGTATAGTATATGACAAAACTTTAAGAATAGCCGCACTTTAAAAAAAAATGTCTTTCAAAGTTTGTTTAGCTTTTTTTCTACTGCAATTGAATTTCTTTTTATTTTTTGGAGGGTATTTTTTTAGCTTTTTACTTTTTTTGTGTTGTTATGGTCCTGCCTTTTTTCTATTTTTTTAATGTTTGAAGTTGTTTTTTACCCATTTTTTTTAAATGTTCGTTTTTTCTTGTTAAATATTCTGCCATGTTTTTTTTTTTTTTTTTTTTTTTTGCAACAATTTACTTGTTTATTTTATGTTTTTTCTTGTTGCACTTTGATTTATATTTTTTAATGCAATTTTTTTTATATGTTTTTTACTTGTTTATATTTTGTATATAGTTTGTAAAGATTTTCTGATTCAATAAAATAAATGCTATGTGTTTTTGGTTGTTTAAGTTCATATGATTTATATTTGATTGATTTTCTAATCCATTAACTTGAGTTGTTTCCTCGCTTGTATTTTATATTCTTTTAATTCCATTTTTGCTCTGGTGTGCTTATACCCTAAACACTAAAAAAGCGGTAGTTAAAGTTTTTCTCATAATATGTTACTGTTTCCTTTTAGATAATATGTATAACAGAAAAAAATATTATTTAAAAGTTCAAATTGCCTAAGAATACATATGGGTAATTCCATGAAAAGGTAAACCACGACTGAAAAAATAAAACCCGTATAACTTCTGCATTTTTGAAGATAATTCAACAAAATTTTGTATATGATCTTTTGTAGCACCAGAGACAAAGACTGTTGAAAATTTTTGAAATCGGTCTATTTTTACACCTCGCCGCCATACAAACGGACCTGAAAATATTACATTTTCGGTCATAATTCTGTTAATTATAATACTATCCCTTCAAAAATCGGCAGATCTAAAATGTTTATAAGCCTAAACCTTTGTGCCGATTTTCATAACGATTGGACCTCATTTGACCCTAGTTCCATTCTAAGTTTAATTTCAGAAAAACACTTAAACGTCCGTAACTCACCTCTAATCACTAGTATTATGATAAAATTTGGCACAAATAAGTTTTATATGAATTAAAATCACACCCTAGAATTTTATGAGGATCGGTCCATATTTGACCCTAGTCGCCATATAACTCCAGTTTTTTATTTTTATCTATAAATTGCTTAAACATGTATGTAGGTCGGCCATGTCCGACTGCACTTTCCTACTCCTTTTGATTTGTTGAAGTGTGTGTATGCATATATTTCCAAAATATATATTTTATAACCTAAAAAAAATCAGGAGAAAAATCTGTCACATACGCTGTTTCACGTACGATATTTAAATATGTTCATTATAAAATTATGTTAATTTCTTTTTTATTTAAAAATTATGGATTACTAATGAAAAATATGTCCCATAGTGTAAGAAATTAAAACAAAAAAGATACCCCTACAGAATTCGCAGATTTTCGTAAATATTTACATGTACTTAAAAAAAACTTACGTTTTTTGTCACGTATGATATCGCCATATTTTAATCCATATTTTGGAAAACAAGGTTCCGAATGGGATGATTTCTTTTGCAAATATAGTATTCTTTAAATGGAACAGAATGACAAAATTGTTTTCCAAGTACTCCTAATTGTACAAAATCTATACTATTCTGAAGGTGTGCGAATGTCACATACAATCGTATGGAATTGCCCATATGTTGGTTTGAAATAAGTTTTACCCCTACTAAATATTGCATTAAGTGCTTGTTTTTTTTTTTTTTGCTAATGTTAGCATTGTGTATTTTCAATTTTATTATCCTTTTGTAAAGGAGTATATACAATTTTACAATAAGATACACAAATCCTAAGTGCAAACTTCATATGAATAAACGAAAATTGAAAAAAATGCAATGTATTATTTCAATCCAAAAATCACTTGAATTGAATGTGATGTGGCGTGTTTTGAAGATAATGAGATAAATTGAAAATGATCAACTAAGGATTTGGAGAAAAACATTTCAATAATAGGTTTTTTTTTTGATATTTCGAGGAAGATTATTGGAAGGATTTTGATATTAATAAAACGAATTCAGAATATTATTATTCAATTTAAAAATAAATTGTGTACTGAACAGCTTACCTAAATCGGGACAAAACATTTCAAAATTTGGATCCAATCGGCATTATTATAGGATTTTAAAATATCTTTTTACTATTTTACTGCGTTTATTAATTCTTGTAGAAAAAATTGCTTGAAATCATTTTAAATTGTGCAATATTTTTGTTATAAAATTTATTTTTTTACATAGCAGGAATACATTTCCACGGTTAAAAATTGAGCTAAAAAGCGCTTCATTACTTCTAGTAGTTGTTCATTTATATATATACTTTTTTTATTGATATTCACTCATTTGCTGTCAAATTAACAAATGAATAATTCCTAACGCATGATTAAATTTTGACGAAAGAAAGACTTTTTAATGCTGGTATATTGTTGCTGCTGTTATTTTTTGACAAACATTTGTTGCAAACTAGCGTAATATAAACTGAAACTAAAAAAAAAAATGCCCCAACTAATGAAAAACTAACAATGGCATGGTGATGATGTTCATACTAAAAACGAAACACTAACAATTCATGTTGCAACAGAAAAAATCCTCCAAAAAAGAACGACAATTGTGAGAGAACCTTTTTGAAACTAAATTGCAAACAAAAAAAAAAAAAAAAAAAATATAAAAAAACATTAAACAATTTAGGTCGACCGTAATGTTAAACAAACACGCGGAAATGACACAAATTGCTCGAATAATATGGCCACAAAATATCAACAGCAACATGACCAACAACGCAATGAAAACATACCGAAATTATTTGAAACGAAGAAAAATATAACAAAAACACAAGATGTGACATCAAGGAATAATACGACATGTCCTAGAAGCATTTCATATACAAATTTAGAAAATGCAACTAAAGGCAACATCAACTACAACGATAATACAACAACATACAAGCTAAAAGGTTCATGGGCTTTAAGCCAAAGTAATGGGCAAATTGCCAAACAACTACAAGATGTAGAAAATGATCAAAAACAACAACAACAGCAACAACAACAAAGAGAACAGCAAAATATTGTCTTTGATTATGGCAGAAATAGAAAACTTAATGGTAGACGTAATAGTTCTGCATCTTCTACACCATCCACAAAAATAAAACGTTGGCATGTTGGCCATAAAGGAAATGATGTAACAAAAGATATGAAATTGGCTAAAAGCCTTTTGGGACCAAATCAATTGGCAACAAAAGCAACAGAAAACGAAACAGCAGTAGCAATGGTCGCCTTAACAAAGCAACACAATCAATTAGTTGGTGGCTCTACAAGCTTCTTAAACACTACTCATCGTCATCATCAGTTTCAACAACAGCAGCAGCAGCAGCAGGAGTTTAATGCAAATGGTGCTGTTGACTACTATGAGTTTAGTGATAATGATTCTACTGATGATGATGTTGTTGATTATCCTACTGTTGCCGAGAATGATAACGTTAGGGCAGACAACAATAGTTCTCATACCTTTACGCCAAGATTAAATAATAATAATTATAGAGAATCATGTCCAGCAGCTACAACTACAATTACCACACCAAAAGCACGTAGACCATCTAAGCAATGGTTCAAAAGAAAGAATTGGTTATCCCAGGATGATGACGATATTGTTGGTATTTCTGCTAATGCTGTCGGCAGTTATGGCAGTGCTAACGATGGCCTACAAACATTTCTACCCAATCAATTTCGCATGGAATTCTTGAGCAAGCAACAAAGCGATACTCAGCCAATTTATAGCCCTACCAACAGCGAGGCTACAACTAATAAAAATGTTAACGACCATTGTTGGCCAATAGAAACGAACAGCAGCAATCAAGCGGAAAATTATATTATCTACAACAATAATAATAATAACAGTTGCACAAGAACAGGCAGCAGCAATTGTATTATGTTGCAACAAAATGTAACTAATGAATATTCCAACAATAATTTAAATGACTTTGATGATTATGAATTTAACTACAATGATCATTATAACTTGGCTGACAGCAACAACAACAATAACAATAACATTAACAATACAAATGAAATATTCTATAATGAATTTCAACATTCATCTGACAAGGACAAACATTCTTTCAACATTTCTAAGGACATGCAATGTAACAATAGCAACAATGATGTTGATGCGGTTGAGGATAATGTTTACAGTACAAAAATACCTTTAGGCCAAGCAGTGATGTGCAAAGAATATAAGGAAAACCACAACATTAGCAGTAGCAACAACAATAGCAAATGTGCCACTAACCAACAGTCAGCAACATCATCCCCCACATTAACCGAACTTATGAAAATACGTTTAAAATCGAAAACTCAAGAAATAAGTAACCAACAAAATTTATCACCAACAACACAAATTAGAAATGCAACCAACTACACAGGAAAAACATTTTACAATAATACATATAATGCAAGGTCAGAGGATGAGCAGCAGCTAAGGAAGACGACATCCACGTCCCTACCAACATCAGCAACAACATCTTTCGAATATATTGACAATAACTCAGCAACAATAACGCTATCGTCGTCATCATCTCTTTTACCACCTACAACAACAACAACAATGGGTTCTCTTAATGTCATTCAAGATTTAGATGATGCTGGTAATACTCGACGACAACAACAGCTACAACAACACGAGCCTCATTTTATGCCACAACATCAACAATATTTGCCATCATCTAGTAAGGTTGCGGTTACAGCTGTTAATGAATACAACATCAGCAGCTGCAGCAGCAACAACCAGAGTCCTTTGTTAAATGACAGGTAAATGTTTAAAAACAACTTTGTCATCCAATGGCCGGGGGTGGATAAGAAAGGTTACTAAAAGCTTTTTAACCTGGGGTTTATTTCTACATTTTATTTATACTTAATTCCTTTATTCGTGATGATACTTGAAGGATTTTCAAAATTTATATTTTGAATTTATTAGTTTCTTTTGATCATGCAGGATATAATGTCAAATGTTTGAGTAGAAGATTTTAATTGCTAGTTTTTACCCTGAATAAATAGGTAAATATGTAGTACATATTAACAACAGCCATTACAAACTTTTTTGAATATGATGTGATTCACTTAAAAGTGGGATCGTATTTTTGTCAGTATTTTCTATACGGGACATACTTTTCACTATCCTCTAAATAATAACCCCTTTGTAAAGGAATTTTAATATTTATAAATGGCTTAAAAACGGCAATAAAATTTCACTTAAACAGGTCTTATCTTTTAGGGGTTTTATGTCAAGTGACCCAACTTTCGAAACCGATGTTGTCCGATCGTTTCAAAAGTTGGGTCATTTAAACTGAAATCTTTCATATACAGTACAACTTGAGTGACTGTAGCAATTTTGCTTAATTTTTTGTTTTCTACCTATTAATTTTCTGAAATAAATAACATGTTCATTTATGTCATGTTACAACTCTTATTTAAATTTCCATTTAAATTTTCTGTAGACATTTTTATTTAAATACAAACTGACAGGTGTTAAGTATTGCTGTTATAGTTTTCAAAATGATTTTAAACTTTTACAATTAATATGTAGATATATATTAGAGTGTCCCCAGGAATAGCCTTTTTAAGAAATTCATATAGGAGTACCTCGATTGAGAGGTATTAATGTACTGAACACGAGAAAGATAAAAAATGTTTTTTTCGAATGGTCCATACCAACTACTGAAAATCCTGATCTCAGTATAATTTGTGAAAAATAAAATATCTTCGATTTTTTTTAAAATGGACATCAAAAATTTCGCTGATTACGGGAAAAAATAATATTATTTTTTTTTTATTTTTGGTCCACAAATTGATTTTTAGTGGGTTAGAGGGGCCTTTTATTTTCACTCTTTCTAGAAATATTGATACCTATTTCGATAAAGAAGGACAATTGTCGTAATTTTTAGCATTTACAGAAAAATTTTAAAAGTATACTAGTCGGCTCTGAGTCGATTTTGCTATGTCCGTCTGACTGTCCGTCCGTCCGTCCGTCCATCTGTCCGTCTGTGTGTCCATGTAAACCTTGTGCGAACGCTACAGGTCGCAATTTTCAAGATAATTGGATGAAATGTGGTACATACTCTTCTTTTGGCCCAAGGACGAAGCCCATTGAAAATGATTAAAATCGGTCCATTATTTTGAATAGCCCCCATACAACCGTACCCCCAAATAGGTCTTTTGAGCTCATAAATATGTTAAATGTTCTTGTATCACTTCAAAAATCGGCAAAACTTAGTATTATATAAGTCTTTATGATACTACTGATTTTCGTAATGATCGAGCCTCATTTGACCCTATCCCTCATACAAAGTCCTCTTCAGTAAATGACTTGATGACCAAAATTCACTTATAAACACTAATAATTACACGATGATATTCTGCGTAAATAACTTATATAGACATCTACCATCCTCTACCAACATTTATAAGCATATTAACCGCCGGTCCATTATTTTGAATAGCCCCCATACAACCGTACCCCCCAAATAGGTCTTTTGAGCTCATAAATATGTTAAATGTTCTTGTATCACTTCAAAAATCGGCAAAACTTAGTATTATATAAGTCTTAATGATACTACTGATTTTCGTAATGATCGAGCCTCATTTGACCCTATCCCTCATACAAAGTCCTCTTCAGTAAATGACTTGATGACCAAAATTCACTTATAAACACTAATAATTACACGATGATATTCTGCGTAAATAACTTATATAGACATCTACCATCCTCTACCAACATTTATAAGCATATTAACCGCCTGTCCCCATTTAACCCCTTTGAATTCAGGTAAAAATGAAATTAAATATTATTAAAAAAATATTCAACATTTTTAACATAATTACTGGTGTAGGTTATCATATAGTCGGCCATGCCCGTCTATAAATTCTTACTTGTTTAGATTATCTAGAAATTTATATGCTCCTAATAATACACTAAATGTCGTTTTGCGGTCCATAAATACACTAACCAAAATTTTAATTATTTTTTCAACGATAAGATCAAAATTATAGAATTTTTGAGAACGCAGAAAATTTTTTTGAACTATTGTTTTGAAATCAAGATTTTCAATCGAAGTAGAGAACTGAGGACCTTTTAAAAAAAATATTTCTTATTTTTGTCGTATCTGTTATGCATATTAAACCGCATTGTTTGGGAGGTATTCCTCCCAAAAAGTGGTCCACGGGACACCCTAATATACATACAAACATACATACATATTTAAATTTTTTATTTATTATCATTTTTTTAAATTTATTTTTAAACACTTTTATGTTTGTTGGTCTGTAGAAAACATTTCAAATACAACAGATGGGTGTCAATTTATTGTGATAGTTTATTGACAGAAATACATACAAATGTAAATATGTAATAAATAAAACAGTTAAAAAAACTATTAGTTAAATAGGTTTATTTAATTTGATATGTACTATTTTTCTAATAAATTTGTATTAAATCCCTTATGTAATACATGCGGGAATCCAGCTCCAGCATTTGGGGGGGAAGGGGTTAAATTTAGTTTTTATTTATATTCTTTTTTTCCGTTTTTCCTCATTTTTATATTTTGTATGAAAAATGTTAGGTTTTTTTGGGGGGGATCCGCGTCTGATGTAATATGAGCTCCAAATCCTTATTCAGGTTTCGGGTTGTACAGTGAAATATCGGTCGATTACAATCATTTTCAAAAGGATTCTTCTTTAGGCCAAGCAACCCGTATGTGTCTAATTTAATCTAATTATTTTGAAAATTGTGATTATACTTTGGTTCCAAATTATCGACAGATATCGCTATTCTTAGCCAAATAGTATACTTAAAGGTGGGTGTAGAACGACTATTTCAATGCGTTACAAACATCAGGAGAAACCCATAATACCCACCTGAGGGTATTAAACTTTCGAGGCCTCCTCGCTATGAATAAATTCCATGAAAGTGCAAGTTTTACATTTACTAACAACTTTTATTACATTCCCTCGTACGATTTTTTTCGAACTTCTTCTCAAGAAATAAATCAACTTGATTCAATCACTGCACATGAATGCATTTTATTGATTTTTTTTGTATATGTATGTTGTATAACAAATGAAGATGAATGAACAAAGAAAGAAATCCACAAAAAAATATATGAATTTTTATTTTATTTATTGTGGCATTGTCATATAACTCAATAAAAGCAACAACAAATTATTATTAGCAAATGATATAAAAGTTGCAACAAAATGTTTGACTTACATAAACTAAACAACAATATAAATGTTCAGCTAACAACAATTGCAGGGGTAAATGTTGCAACAACATAGTATATGCATCGAACATGTACATTTCTTTCATTTAGTTTATTTTTTCACTTTTCAACGGACAACTTACATACATACGTACATACAATACATAATGATTGACTAACTCTAATAAAACGACAAACGATCGTAAAGATTGTGTCATACAGCGAGACAAAAAATGTAAAGAAAATAAGTAAAATTATTAAAAAAAGCTTGTAAGTGCAACAACATATTATGGATCAATTGTAAAGAAATATTCATTGTATCGATTGTAAATAAATAATTTTAGAGCATCTTGTGGTTGTTGGATTGTAATGATACATTTTTTGTTTGTTTGTTTCTTGTTGTTAAATTTTTTATTTGTATTATTATATGACAATAACTATATAATCTTTATAATGATGATGTTCTGCTTCAGTGGCACTTAAGAATGTGTGGCACATTGTATTTTTGTTTTCTGTTGTATATTTAATGCAGTAAATTTTTATTTTCTCTTTTTTATTATTTCTCTACAATCATCACTTTTTTTATTTATTGATTTGCAAACAAGAAGCAAATTTAATGAAAGTGAAAATCCCAGAAATAAAAAATATTTTTGAATAAATATTGTAGATATAAATAAATAAGTAAATGCTAAATGGATTTTTTCTGATAATATTGAATACTTTGCTGTGAAGTACTTCTAGAAAAATGTGGTCAAAGTGTTTATTATAGGGATTTTCTTTGGAAAATGGCAATGTAATTTAAGTGCATTCACATTTATCAAAAATTTAGAAAGGCAAACATTTTTTATAGGCAATTTTGACTTGTTTATATCGGATTTTTCATAATGATAATGTTTTATTGACTAATTTGTATAAAACTTAATTACGCAAAATATACGCTGAGGGGCTAGGTGAAATAATGCACTGATTTCAACAATTTTTAACAGCCTTCTTTATTGGATCCAGAGAATGGTTGCGCCAAATTTTATCAAATTATCATGAAAACTGCGTCCTGGAGCGTGCGCACAAGGTTTACACGGACATACAGACGGACATAGCTTAATCGAATCAGAAAGGTATTCTATACCGATTTATTGATGGTATTTACTTTTTTAAAAATGTTATTTGTGCAGAATTTCATCGTGATACTAGTGTTTATTAGAGAATTGTGGACATTCAAGTCATTTTCTGAAGGGGACTTTGTATGGGGGCTAGGGTCATATATAAGGCCCGATTATTACGAAAATCGGGAGCATTATATAAAACTAAGTTTTGCCAAGTTTTATAGAGGTACTAGAACATTTAACATAATTAGGAGGTTAAAAGACCTATTCGGGAGGTTCCGTTGTATTGACCGATTTTAATTATTTTCAATAACGTTCGTCTTTGGAACAAAAGAACGTGCCAAATTTCATCAAATTATCTTAAAAATTGCTACCTGTAGCATGTGCAGAAGGTTTACATGGACACACATATATACAGATAGACGGACATAGGTTAATCGATTCAGAAAGT